GAGTAATATATTTAGAAGGCAATTTTTTTTTAAACATTTTATTTTTGTTTAAATTTATTCGTGTGAGCTAGTTCAAAAACAAGTTAAGTCAACCATGTTGAAACCTATAAGTTACAGCGTACAGTTGCTGATGGACATAAGGTTCTAGTGGTCAGTGGGAAAAATGAATTTTATACCCATCATCATCCGGAAGTCAATTAATAGAGCAGTTCCTATGAAAACAAAGTTGATTTATAACCATTTGTATGTCGAGGCAAGCTGTATGTTTGTCATTAAAACAACCTTCTATTTTACCCTCTTTAGTATATATCCGAAAGTGTTATGATTTAGGCAGATCATGAAATAAGCTCGTAGGTTGAAAAATCGCATTTATTTCTCAGGTTACCACTCATTGGTAAACTTCATATTTTTTATCCAACTTTGAAAATTCATAACTAATTATAACAAAATCATATTGAGATGATCTAAGTCTCCATTTAAAGCTATTTTAATTCTCTATAGGAGAAAAAATATAAATGTGGACTTAGATCTTCTCAATTCATACAGTTAATTTGTAAAATTTACTATTCATTTTTAAAAAACTATACTTTCTAGTTTTTCTACCCTAACTTTGAGTAGTCATAACTCTTAGCACACGTATCCATTTTAAGTATCTACCATGCTCATGAATGTATTTTGAGCATGCCAAATTTTATGGGCAGATTCAATTGTTTGCCTCATTTTTACTCTGTCGCAAACTCATGGCTCATTTAGGGATAAGTTATCCCTTTTACTTGCATTAATAATTCATGATTATACATTTCTTTACATCCAATCATTCCAACATACCATTGATCATTTTCATACACCATTACACTCATTCATACATGCCAATACCATTATTCATCATTACATTAAATTATAGGTATGTTCATGCATACATCAACATAAAGGAGAAATATTACACTATAATACATAAACACATTTCTCCCATCTCTTCTCTTCTTTCTTTGATTTTCATCAATACATTCCTCTTCCATAAGCATTATCCCTATTATGGTTGGTTAAGGAAGGGTGAGATTTGGAAAATCTCAGTAGCAAACATTATCTACATTATATGCAAGACAAATGCTAATTAAGTGGATGACATGCTTGGTCTCATGCTTTTATACTTATAAAATAACATGCTCTGATGCTCGATGTTTCATTCACATATCATTAACCTCTAAAATCATTCTCCTAGCCATTTCATAATCAATTTTTCATGAGGAATCCAATCATGAGCTTGGATTTAACAAAATCCAACTTCTTTCCCTTTAAACACTTAAGGCTAGGAGGTTAGGGTTTGAAATTCAAAATTTTTATAAATCATTCTCCTAGCCATTTCATATCAATTTTTTTTCATGAGGAATCCAATCATGAGCTTGGATTTAACAAAATCCAACTTCTTTCCCTTTAAACACTTAAGGCTAGGAGGTTAGGGTTTGAAATTCAAAATTTTTATTTTTCAAGTATAATGCTTCCAAACACATTTTCTCAACATAGCCCTACATAATTTCATCTTTTAAACACACTAGAAGTATGAAAATCATCAAATCCAACCCTAGTCTCAAGAACTTCTTGACCATTGGGTTCCTTTAGGTGCCATAACCATGAAATCCATCCAATGTCATCTAAAACCACTTGATTCTCATTCATTTTAAACCTTTAAACATGATTCCAACATCAATGAATCATCTTCATGGTTTAAACACAATTTGGCAGCATCTCAACTTAGGGTTTCAAGCTTTTAAAATCCATCAAAACTATGGCTAAACTCAACAAGACAAGTAGCAGGATAAACCATCAAGAACTATAAATATACCTTGTCTTGGAGCTTGATCTTACATGGTTTCCCTGCTCTTTCTCTTCTCCTTTTTCCTTTCATATTTTTGGCCTCTTATCCCTTCTCTCATGCATTGGCCAAAAACCTACATAAATGGGAGGGGGGGTATTTATACTAGCTTAGCTAGAACTTGGCCTATGAAGTTGATTAAAATGACAATGGGTGTGTGGCCTTCAATCTCATCATTCATTCCAACTCTTATGAGATGTACAAATCCAAAGTTGTCACATCTCAAGAAATATCATCTGGATATAGAGAATTAAAATTAGAATGAGGGCCAATGTAGAACTAGAGGGGGAGATGAAACAACTTTTGATGTGAAACCCTGATAAGGTCCGGGTTGGCATTTTCATAATTATTGGTCAAGAAAGGGCAAAATGAAAAATTTTGAGAAAAATTCTAAAAAATTCCCAAAAAATGGTAAAAGTATAAGTTAGAGGTTTTAGAACCTCAGTTGAGGCCTAAAAGGTGGAATTATTATGAAATTTTTCGTAAACAGAGATTTTTCCGAAAAATATTAGAAAATCAGAGAAAAATAATTATTGTAATTAGTTAGAGGCCTCAATAAATTTGGTAGAAATATGGATAAATCATATAAATATTTTTTTGAATTTATAAAATTGGTTTTAGGCCTTGGAAGTTCAGGAATTAATTTAAGAGAATTTATTTTCCCGCACAGACATTAATAGAGGCATAATTGGAGAAAATTCAAAATAAATACCTAGAGGTGGTGAAACATTCTGAAAATTTTCAGATCATGTTTTTATATTAAAAGGTAAATTATCATGGAGAGAAATAAATTTTTGGAGGCCTAGAAAAATTATGGGATGTTATTAGTGAATAGTAATCGATAAAGTTTCAAATTGGTTTGGGATTTTGATTTAGATTGTGTTAGTGGCAGTCACCCAAGAGGGGGGTGAATTGGGTGAGATATAAAAATTTTAACCAAATTGAAATAATGAAATTAATAAAACAGAGGGCTTTAGTTGGAAAGATATAACCACAGATCAAAGACAATAGATTTATACTGGTTCGGTCTTAATCACTTGACCTACGTCCAGTCCTCAGAATACCTCTAAGATTTTCACTATGATCCAAGATTAACTAGGCTCTTGTTGTCTCAGTACAACAATTGATCTTCTCAACCACTCCCCATTACTGCCCTTAAGGTTACAAACTCACTCAAGAATCCACACTCTTGAGTTACGCTCAGAAAGTGATTAAAGATGATATATTAGTCTCTCTCACAAAGTAAATAAATGAGAAACACTAAAGCTCAGTAAAGACAAAAATAGAGTATTGAATGCAACAGTAAAATATTTGCAGAAGGTAGCTCGTTATTCAATGATCGTATTCAATGCCTCTTCGCACCTTTTATAATTGCTGAAGCTTAATAACCATTAGACGGAAGAGCTTCTAGTCATTGAGAGTTCGGTTGTGTGTTTTCCCAGTAGCAACGGTATTTGCCATTTAATGCTTCTGACATGGTAGGTTACAGGCTATTGAATAACCATTGGATAACCGTTGAACTTTCTTCGTAATCTGTAACAATACTTCAATCTAATAAGTTTTTACTTTAGAGTGAAATTCAGGAAGATAACTGATAAAATGATGGTAATATTCTTATAGTAGGAGAGAAGTTAATCAATCAAACATCTGATCCAATAACTATGAATTGATCAACCTTGATCGAAGACATGATCAAAAACTGGTTTATCGATTACATTATTGATTAATAAAGATGAAAGCATTTGAGACAGATAACTATATTTATCAATCAAGTTATGGATTAACACATGATCGATCCAGTGATCAATAACCAAAAAGATTGATTTCAGAAGGAGAAGGCTCAAGGTGACTCATGATTTTGAATCTCTTAAAATAAAGAATTAAGATAAATAGTAAGGCTGAGAAAAGCTTGAGGAGAAATATTTAGAAGATTCTTAAATCTCATCGAAGCTTTTGGTATTGAAAGAGCTGGATCATTGATTGAATAAGTGATCGAAAAATGTTTTGATCGATCAATTTATCGATAAAGATAAGCAAGAGAGAATTTGATTTTCAAGGTGCATTGATCGAATACTTTATCGATAAATGGATGATAGAAAATTTGATCGATAAAATGAAGTTTAACAAAGATTTTCATAAAGAGCACAAATCCTAAGATGATCAAGTAAGTGATCCATCAGAGATTTATCAATCAAGTGATTGATAACAATGAGTCGAGAAGCTCAGTTTTGAAATGCCAGGAGCATGTTTGATCGATTACGTTATGTGAAAATAGAATATTCAGTAGATTGGAAGATTAATCATTTTATCGATAAATTGATAATTGATCAAGTGATCGAAGAAAGACTTGAACAATGTAAATTAGTGAAAAGGTGATGATCAATCATTTGATCGATAAACTGTTGATTGATCAAGTGATTGATAAAGTAATTTTCAAAAGCACTTAAACAGAAGAAAAAATATCGATAAGTAGGTGAGATATTATGCAATGAGAGAATAGGTTATCGATAAAACTGTGATCGATAAAGTGATTGATAAATGGTGATTAAAACAAAATACAATGAGAGTAGGAAGTTTTACCATGTATCTGTCTTCTCATCAATAACTTATTTATCGATCAAGCGATCGATAAAGACTTACCAAAACTTGTGTCCCATTATTTGTCAGTTGTTCTCTCACTAGATTATCGATCAATTGATCGATAATTTTCTGCAAACTTCTATACAAAATAGTATTAACAATGATCGATCAATTGATTGATCAATACATACAAATTTGATTTATCTATCACGTTATCGACTAACATTTCTGCTAAGTTTTTTGTTAACACAAGAACTTTATCTATCAAGTGATTGATCAAGGGTGATTGATCAACCTACTAAAACACAGATTCCTTAATTTATTATCATCAAGACCTTAAATCTAACATTCTCCCCCTTTTTTATGATGACAAAACATAGGTGTAAAATTAATCACATATCATTAGCTAATAATGTAAATCAAATCACAAAATTAGTGAAATCTTATGACAGATAAAAAAACTAGCAGAAATGCACCACTGATAACATTTAAACACCAAAGTTCAGGTTACATATCAGAATATCAAATTAAGAACTAAAGAACTAAGCTAAACAGATTTCTTCTCCCCCTTTTTGTCAGCATTAGAAGGTGGGGAAGGAGTAGAAGCAGTAGGCAAGGTGATTGAGATGGCAAGAAGGGGAAGTTGAGTGAATGGAGAGATAGTCTGAGAGATGGGTGGAAGAGTCAGAGAAGGAATAGGCTGAGACAGATTAAAAAAACTAGTAGAAATGCACCACTGATAACATTTAAACACTAGAGTTCAGGTTACATATCATAATATCAAATTAAGAACTAAAGAACTAAGCTAAACAGATTTCTTCTCCCCCTTTTTGTCAGCATTAGAAGGTGGGGAAGGAGTAGAAGCAGTAGGCAAGGTGATTGAGATGGGAAGAGGGGGAAGTTGAGTGAATGGAGAGATAGTCTGAGAGATGGGTGGAAGAGTCAGAGAAGGAATAGGCTGAGAAACTATGATAAGAGCTAGGGTAGCAGGAGGAGGAGTGGGAGAAGTAGAAGGTGCAGATGGTGAAGTAGAAATAGGAGAAGTGGGTGTAGGTGAGGTAGGTGGTTGAGGTTCAGGATGAGGAGGAGATGGTGGGTGAGATAGTAGGTCTTCAAAACTGAAAGAAGTGCTTGGTGCAAAGAAACTGTTGTAGAGAGAGGCTACCATCCCTTTTAAGTCTCAGATCTTCCTTTCAACATAGTTAAACCTTTTGAGAGACCTCCTTTTCCAAAACTACTATGGCTTGGTGATGAAGATCCAAAATTTTGGAAAGGCTATCAAATTTCCTATATGATATTTCCCCATAGTCTTTGGCCATGGCATAAACTCTCCTTTCAAATTCTTGAAGGTCTGTTTGGAACATCTCTCTGATTGATCTTTCTAGAAATGAGGGTCTAGAGTTATGAGAGGGAGTTGCAGTAGATTCTATCTCATCTTGGGGCCTAGAGGTGCTACCTGCTAGTTGCTTCCCTTTATCTTTTTGAGCTAGCTTCTGTGAGGGTTGGAATGGCATAGGGATTCTCATCCTGTTGAGTTGATTGATGCCAAAAGTAGGAACCTTTACTTTAAGTTCTCCTGGCTCAAGAGGTGCAATGTTATGCACTTGAAGGAGATAAGTGGCCAATTAAGGATAAGGGATTGGTGTAGACTTGGATTTGTTTGGAACAAAATCCTTCATTTCATTAAAAATTAGATCCCTTATGTTGATCTTGTCTCTACTGATTATTTGGGCCAGCAGTAAGTAATCATCTCGGTTCAGATGTGAGAAACTCCCAAACTTATTGACCGTACTTCTTGAATAGATATAATGGATTATTCTATAATACTCACACATTTGCTTTGGTGGAAAATTTAGTTCCTCGAGGTAGTCATCACTTTGCATTAAGATTTTATAGGCTTTGATGTCATTCATGTCACCTCCCTTCACAAATTCTTAGGTTCCTAGTAGTTTATTTAGCTTGGCACTAGAGAGAGTGAAGATTCTGCCTCTTAGTTTAATTCTTAGATAATCATTTGTTAGATTATCTTGATCATCATATTTTTCTACAGATTCCATATTACAAAAGAATCTTTTAATCACTTCTAGGCAGTATTCTCCTCCAATGATCAAACAATTTGAATAATGTTCAAGTGGGTCACTCAAATCCAAATTAATTTTCTCATTTTTCTTTAGGCCTTAAATATCAACTGAAACCACAGGATAGAACTTACGGTTTATAGAATCTGCCTTAAACTTAGCCATGTTCACATCATTATTCAAATTCCCAACTAGAAATCCAGAGGATTTAGATGGAGTACCTTGGGTAGGAACTTGGTGTGACACACCCTCACTTGCCTTCTCTTTCCTTTGTCTCGGTTGGTTAGGGATAGGAATTCTTAGTGCAGCCTCCATAGCTTTCTGAACTGAAGCTTCCTCATCGGATTTTGTTTTAGACTCCTCGGTAACCATTGGTAGCTTAGATTTCGACCTGGACTGTGGAGATTTTCTCTGAGGAGTGGGTTGCTCTTCAAGCTGACTTTTCTGAATCTTTAATACTCCTCTTTTCTTTGATATTCCCTCACTTTTGGTCTGAATCTTTTCTTTGTGGTCGAGGGAGTAGTTTCTTTGGACTAAGTTTGTTTCTCAGTGCTTTCCTTTTGGTCAATATTCTATTGCTTAACTCTCACTATTTCTCATTGTCAGAAGAGATTTTGGTGAATGTTTAGTGTTTTGTGGACTTGAAAGGTTTGGCAGTGATCAGAAGACCCTAGGAAGTGATTTCGAGTGGAAGGGAACAAGTGATTTAATAAAACAGTGAATTTTAGATTGTTGTGTAGGAACAGGGGAACGATTTTATTGAGTTAGGGCTGCGATAACTGACAGGGTTTCTAAAAAAATTAACGTTATAGAAACTAAATTTATCGATCAAGTTATCAATCAATGAGTGATCAATCACGTGTTTGATAAATAAGAAGAACACACAAGAATTCTAAAGACAGTTATTGGTCAAGTTATCGAACAATGAATTATCGATCATGTTATCGATAAATGTTAACTAAATGTGTGCACCTGGCCTTATTTATCGATCATTTGATCAATTAATAAATGTGTGACTGTGATTCTACGTTGCTGTTGATCGATGTGTTGATCAATAGTTGAGTGATTGATCTGCTGATCAATCACATTCCGTCCAACTTCTTTCTTTTGCTCTATATCCTCATTTATTGATTAGTTGATTGATAAATCTACCCTTTCTTAGAGCATGATTATCGATGCATCTTTATCGATTATTCCATACTCTGTTTACCTCTATTTTTCTTCCATGAAATAGAGCTTCCTGCAAAACAAATTTCTATACACTCTGATGCTTAAGTTAGTCTTTTAATCATCAAAACTTTAAATCTAAAGACTTAAATTAGCGAGATAACATGAAATTTCTTACAGATCATTGGGATTTACCATTCCTAATTCTCTTCTCAAGTAATTGAACTTCTGTTGATTAAGGGGCTTCGTGAAAATGTCTGCTATTTGATATTCAGTGGGGATGAATTCTACTTTTACATCTTTCTTTTGAATATTGTCCTGAATAAAATGATGTCTAACATCAATGTGCTTGGTTTGGGATGGTGAACTGGATTCTTGGACAGGCTTATTGTGCTTGTGTTGTCATACAGAATTGGAATCTCCTTCAAGTTGATTCCCAAATCTTGTAGTTATTATTTTAACCATAGAATTTAAGCACAACAGCTGGTAGTGGCAACATATTCTGATTCTGTGGAGGATATCGCCATAGTATTATGCTTTTTGCTTGACCACAAGATAAGGCATCCTCCCAGGAATTGACATTGTCCACTGGTACTCTTTCTGTCTGTCTTATAACCTCCTCCATGATCAGCGTCTAAGTATCCTATTAGATATTTTGCTCCTTTCTTTGGATACCAAATTCTCAAATTTTGTGTTCCAACAAGATATCTGAGAATTCTCTTCACGGCTTCTTCATGTGATTCCTTGGGGGTTGATTGGTATCTTGCACACATCCCCATACTGAATTAAATGTTTGGTCTACTTGCTGTTAGATAGAGTAATGACCCTATCATTCCTCTATATTTGGTTAGATTCACGTCCTTGCCCTCCTAGTCTGCATCAAGTGAGATGGTTGAGCTCATAGGAGTTTTCACACTTTTAGCATTTTCTAATTCATATTTCTTTAGTAATTCCTTGAGATACTTTGTCCGGGGTATGAATATGTCATTTCTCTTCTTCTTGATTTGTAATCCCAGAAAGAAATTCAATTCTCCTATCATTGACATCTCAAACTCACCCTGCATTAACTTGGCAAATTCTTGACAAAGATTCTCATTAGTAGCTCCGAATATATATCATCCACGTAAATTTGAACAATTAAAGTTCCTTTTTACTTCTTTTGATGAAAAGTGTAGCATCTACTTTGCCTCTTTCAAAACCTTTTTTTATCAGGAAATTGCTAAATCGTTCGTACCAAGCTCTAAGAGCTTGTTTTAAAACCATATAAAGCCTTTTTTTAGTTTGTAAACATGATTAGGGAAATTGAAATCTTCAAAACTAGGAGGCTGTTTGTAACATCATCCCAGCTTTCAGGCCTAGAAGTACCAGAAATAGCCTGAATTGGATAGGTTATTAGACCCCTTTTGAACAGAAGTCCCAAAGGCAAGAAAGGCAGTCAAAGCAGTTTTAGAGACTAAACTGCAAAGTAAAAGTTTTCAGGGGTTCAAGTATAATCGAGGCTAGAGGCTCCAGTAAAATCTTAAGGGCCTAGAAAGAGAAAGGAGGTTAGATACAGGCCAAGGGTTAAGTTAGAAACCTCAAAGAGAGGATTGTATGAAGTTAAGTCCAAGCAGGGACTAAACCGTAAATTCAGAAAGTTATGATCCACAGGGGTAAAAATGGAAGAGTATACAAAGAATTCTAAGAAAATTCTAGAAAATAGGAAATAATATTCTAAGACTCTTCTGTGAAGAGAAAAAGATGAAAGTACCCGTGAGGTACTTAAATGGAATTTATAAGGTTATGGCCAATTAAAAAGTACATTGTTTGAGGTAATTATTTAAAATAGCAAGAGATCTCAAAAATGTATACAAAATGAGATTAAATGGTTGAAATTTGTACTAATTTATAAATTAGTCCCGCAAATAAAAGGCCAGTGGAATGGCTTTAATAAATTAAAAAGCTGATTATACCAATAAAAGGGCATTTTGGTAAATGAATTTTATGCAAGGCTTAAAGGGAGCGTTGTGGCCTAAAAAAATTCATAGATATTCTTGAGAATTAAAAAAAATTTATGGAGCAGATAGAAGAATTTTCAGCCCTGGAAGGCCATAAAGAAAGCCGAAGAAACGTGGCCAAGTAAACCGGAGGAAACTTAAGAAGCAAGTTTGATCCAACGACTAGGCTCTAATCTCCCTTCTCCTCCACCACATTTGTGACACTTGGCATCTTCTAGAAGGATAAGGTAAGCATGATGCAAGAAGATGATGCAATGATGATGTAAAAGTCAACTTGAAGTTCCAAGATTGCCCTTACCCTTTCTATTAGCTACCAATGGTATTTTGGTCCATTCAAGCCAAATTTTTGGCTATAAATAGGCACTCCCTCCCCTCATATTTCAGCCAAGCAAGGAATCATAGGGGAAACTCTGCCGCTCTTGCATTTAGAGAGAGAAAGAGCTATTTCTAGTGAGAGAAAGTCCACCTAAGTTCAAGCTTCAAGATCAAGGCATGTGATGGTTATAGCACCTGATTTTATGCCTATTTCGAATTAGTTATTGTGCGTATCTGATTCTAAAATTTGGTATAATTAAAGTATACTCTGTGAGCTTTAAATCCATGGGTAGAATACTTTATTTGGATATGTGTACGATTTATGGTGATTTTTCAAAGTTAGGGTTTGAAATTTGAAAACAGTGTTAAACTTTTGGAAGAATGTCAATTTCCGTATAATTTCGATACTGTTCAACGTGGAATTGGTTCCTAAAACTATTTTTCCTTTAAAGATAACTTAAGGAGACTTGGAACCACTCAATTTTGATTTTTCTAGAATTAATTATGAATTTTCAATTTTGAGCAGAAATTTTGGAGTTTCTGCATGAACAGTACCCGCGAATCAAATTTCCAGATTTGATATTCTTAAATCTAAAGCCATCTAAAGTAGT